GGAAGGCCCCCCCCCCCCCCCTTCAGGTAACCTGTGCACCGTGGGCAATTGCTCTCTCGCGAGGAGCGTGGAAGCACTGTCTCTCGTTGTTTCACACCTTCAACATCTTGGCCCTGTCGTAATCCTCATCTTCCACGGCCTGCCTTTTCGCAACCTCTAGTTTAGCCAGTTGTTTCCCGAGGGACTTCAGTTGAGTCTCGGCCTCCTTGAGGAGTTTAGCAGTATCGTAGTCCTGGGAGAGGGAAGAGAAAACATCAGAAAGGGCAGGAGTGCCATTACAGCAGTCTTGCAAAGAATGCCATCGACAGTCGACGTGTGTGGAAGCAGCAAGACTGGCAGACTCAAACACGATATATTTGTGTGTGTCGACTGAACGTTACCGTCAGCGAGGGGTCCGACTTTTTCGTTCTCTAGGATACAACATTATACTTCGGTTGTGTCCTCGACAAAAAGTCCCCCGAATTCACTCCGTTCGTGGCGTTTTCACCGTTGCCTTGTGGCCGTGGTCGTGAAGCATAGGTGTTTCGCGTGGCAAGCACATATTGACGCCGCTCTCACTGGCAACAACTCTTGGCTACTATGCGTTTAACACTTGCAGTACGACTCCAACCCGAGGAATAGCAATCGTGTTGGTCGAATCTTCACCTCTGCACGTGCGGCCCTGTCCTTCGCGTTGGCGATGTCTCGTATCCGCTGAGCTGCTTCCGGGTCAAAGTTCATGTCGAAGCTCAGATCGTTCAACTCCGTGTGGCTGGGCCTCGTCGCCCCAATCTCCCTCCCGGTATGCCCTGGAGGGTATGCCTGAAGTGTGCGGGGGCCTGCACCGTATGGTGCGGGGGGGTCATCCAAGGCCCCTGGTGCTAGTTTCCCGAGCTTCTCTCCAAGGAGGTTAACAGCGACGATTCCAACCTGAGGAACGCAACGAGCGCGAGCAGGGACAACATCAGAAGGGAAAGACTCATGATGCACATGTCTTCTTGTACTGCGTTCCCGTCGAAAGGCATGACGTAGCGAACACCTGGTACAGCATGTCTGCAACACGATCGTACCGGCAAAGACCCGTACAGGACCACAAACACAGTAGGAAGTATATAATAACACTCCCAACTTGCACCCTACCTGGTTGAAAAGGTTGACCTCGTTGATGTAGCACTTATGCACTAGCATTCGCAAGTACTGTCCTGGAGCGTTGACGTAAACGCTCTTGAGCTCCCGTGCTTGGTACTTGGACCGCTCGTTGCTATTGAGACTGAGATACCCAAGCCGCCTGAAGTGCGCCGACTCGTACGAATCCCCATGCCCTACGAACAGCTCGATCTGGGTGGCGATTTTACTCTGATGCGACAGGATTTGCACCTGTCCGCAAATTGCGGTGGAAGCGCCGAGGATACGAGGGTATCAGAAATTGGGTACATGTGTAGGAGAAACATTCAGGTGCCGCCAAACGAAGGAGAGGTAGCCAGGCGGAAAGAAGGGAGAGAACAAGTGACTCACAGTACCCATTGCATTGCATACAGGAATTCATCTCTCCCCAAGGCCTAAATCTACCGTCAGACCACAATTAGATGCGGGCCCAATATCGAAGTGTATGTGCCGGACCTTCGAAGGTTGGGACTCCCAAGCATACCGGAAGTTGGGGCGACCCTACTATATCGCGGCCCTCTGTACATGGCTCATCTCACTAATTCGGAACCACGACGGCAATGTAGAACGAGAAACAATGCGCCTACAATATACAAGCACAACATGCCGCGTTTGTTTGCGTACGTACGGTATACGACGCAAGATAACACCCCCTCGCAGAATACCAGAACCGGTGCTAATATTTTTGGATCTCAACAAGGAGTTATACCACCCGGGATACATAAGAGAACACCCCCCTTGAGGTTAGACCACATATATTCACCAAGCCCCCACTGCTTTCACCCCGGTGATCACCTTCGGCTCCTCTTGCTGCTGCTGCTGCCGCCGCCGCTGCGGCTGACCAAGCTGGCACAACAACAAGCGCCAGCCATCACACTGGCTCAGCAGCCTGCTACTGAGAGCGACTCAGCAGCACGCGAAGGTGCTGATGCAGACTATCACACCCCTAGCTATCACATCCTCCGGGTATCACGCACCTTTGTTACCCCACCCCTTTTCGATCCCCGCAAGTGTGTGGCAGGGGTACTACACCCCCTAGTTATCACACCCCCTTCATGTTTCCCACGGCCGCACTTTATCACCTAGGCTACACAAGATATCACACCCCCTGCACAAAAACACCCCCGGTGACAGATTTTTAAACGCCAAAATGTTATCCCCGGGGAGTTGTGTCGTACACGGTAAGCCGAACTAAGAGTGAAAAGTGTCGGCCACGACATTGTGTTTGGCGATCTATTTAGCAAATCACCCTCAAACAAACCTTGACGTAGATGTCGGATAACTACCCTATAGTAGACGAACAACAAGACACATGGGGGTGATTGCCCCAGTATCGTTCTATGACGATATTCTATCCAAAGAGGGCAGGGAATGCCGTAAAGACGACGCCTACATCGATAGCCAATGCTACATACAACACCAACCCACCAGGAGAAGTCGAAGGCGAAGATAAAGGGGGAAACCATAAAAAGGAGCTCTGGTCCGTTTGTGGGATCTACCAGAATGGATCGAAGACATGACTCCTGCCCACACGTCCACAAAACTCAAAACGAAACCAATGAAAACAAAACACACTGTGGCAAGACCGCGCAAATGGAGGATGCAACGCGGAACAGACCCAACCGCGGGCGGTGCTGAAAACAAAACCTCGAGAAACAACGCACACAACCATTAGGCGCCCGAGCTCGCTGGTTGTACTCGCGAGGGAGGAATCCCATGTACAACCTACAGCCGAAACTGCGCACTCAAGGTTTTGCACTGCATAGTCTACATCGTTCGGAATAATGAAGGAACGGAACACTTGTACTGAAGTCAAAGGTTGAACTGCTGTGCCCACAGCACGCCCTTCATGGGCATCCAACTACATGTTGGGGGCGCCTTTCGTTCAAAGCAAGCTGGTTCGCTACTACAGTAATGGGCTAACCTCTGTTAGTAGCACAGAGAAAAAAGTGAACTGGATAGTAGCAACTTCACCCAAATGATAGAGATCCTGATGTCTATCTACACTTTCGGCGCTGGCTCATTTAGATATGCGTCGACCAGCAGGTTCTACAGGTACATGGCAGCAGAATCGACAAGACGACCTTGAATTTACAGATATGAAATCCGTAGACTATGCATAGATCGCGCTGTTCGCAATGTAACATGCAAGATCGCGAATTCTGGCCACAAAAGTCATTGGCTGCAGTATAGTCTAGGAACCAAGCAAGACAACATGGTCTCAAACTATTGAGATGACTCGTCCACGTCCTCTCCGTCAGCCTATGCATACGAGCTATGTGGCTCCCTCGACTGCAAACTCTACCCGTCTTCTCAGTGAATCAAGTAATATCCTTGTTCGCACACACACGCCACACGCACCTGGGATACCCGCGCTGGTGCTTCCCAAGCCAGTCCCAACTCCTGCGGATAGTCGCAAAACTGTGGACTCTGCCATCCTCTTGTGTGGGGACTGGACGACAGCCGAGAGGACGGTACGCGTGTAGACCTTGCTTAGTCGGATATTGCGACAGCGGCTTGAGTGAGGGAGACGAATCAACACCAAAATTCAAAAAAAGAGGGGGAAATGCTTTCTTCACACACCTGTGTGCATTCAGCTCTTCGGCCGGATACTCTGGTTCTTCTCCCGAGCAAAAGCACACCGAAAAACGAAGCTTACTCATGGCAACACTCATTCAGTGTGCCTGGCGTTTGAGGCGAGAAAAGAACAGGTTGAGGCATGTGAGGATGCTTGCCGGCCCGTGCGGTGCTGGGCAGGGGGGTCCGACGATGGGGGAGACGGCAAGAGAGACACGGGGGCAGGGGGTGCCGTCATTGGGTGAACCTGCGCGCCCTCCGCTCTCCTGTCTCGCCGGTCATCGGTCACTCTCCGGCGCAGCGCAGGCTGGAGCTGTGTCGTAGAATAAGGGTGAGGACTGATATTCATCAAGAGGCAAGGTACGAAGGGAATGTCGTGTAACACACGTAGGGAAAACGAGGTAGTAGCAAGTGTATGCCCCCAGAAGTGCGGGACAACAAAGATGTGTCACATTGTTACCGTTTGCATGTACTTTTAAGTCTTAAATAGGTTGGACTTTCCATTTCTGAGCGGGTTGTGCACCTCGTGGGGCCTGCTGGACTGAAAACTTGATGCGTACGTAGTAGCATATGTCCTCGGTTTAGCACCACACCACATAAGACACATAGTCGTTTTTCTGCGAACGCACCGAGATTTGGGAGTGAAATGATAAATTATTCTCATTTTTGGTAAGGCTGAGTCTTACGTCGTGATTATTTCGGAGATTTTTATTTTCTCTCGGTGGGGGGGGGGTGGTCTGCAAGGGAAAAATTATCTGGATCCATACGACTGTCTTACGGTTCCTTGAGACAGATTGTTTTCTCAGGGGAAAAAAAGGGCGGATTCAGGTCTTTGTGGGTCACAACATGCTTCAGTTCACGGTTTTGGCTCTTGTGCGACCAAGAACACACCAAATGCCCTGTTTTTGGGTCGCCTCCAGAGGGCATGTATATAATCGCACGCCAGTGACTGCAGTTTCGGATGTCGTCGGCCGAAGGCCTCTCTCGGGCATGCGTTGTGGATTGATCACGCTCGGAGCAACCAGAAAAAAAAAGGCAACGTTAGAAAAAGTCAACATCGCAACACACTTCGGTTCACGTTTACAGGCCGTGTACAATCAAAACTGGACAATACGCTCTGCTTCTGGGACGCGAGCAGAGCGATTGTATATGACAACACGCCACTGGCTGCTGTTTGTGGATGTCATCGGCCGAAAGCCTCCCTCTGGCATGTGTTGTGGACTGGTAGCGGGTGACACACGGAGCAAACACGGGGTGGAACAAGAAAAAAGTCAAGGAGTCAACACCGCAACGCACTTCGGTTCACGTTTGCAGGCCGTGTGCAATCAAAACTGGACAATATGATCTGTTTCTGGTACGCGAGCAGAGGGCATGTATATGATCACACGCCATTGGCTGCAGTTTGTGGATGTCGACGGCGTAAAGCCTCTCTCTGGCATGCGTTTTGAACTGGTCACACATGCAGCAGGCGCAAAAACGGCTCTTTTCGGCCCAAAGGCAAGAACGTCAGCAGAGCAATGTGGCAGGGTTGACGTTTTCGGCTCGTGTGCGGCCAACACGACGCAGAACGCCCTGAATTGTAGATACCTGCAGAGGGTTTGTGCATGGCCTAATGATACTGGCCTCTGTTTGGCCAGCAGACGGTGTAGTTCCTCGTTCTGGCACGATCGGGGTGTGACCAGGGGGTACCCCCCCCCAATTCCTAACTGGAAATTATCAGCCGATCCAGTTTGGAAAATGGGCCTATTTTCGAACGCGGCAGCTGGGATCCCAGGAAATATTCGGCGATTTGGAATTTGGGCGTTTGGAATTGGCCAAATTCCTTCGCGCAAGACGCTCAAATAATTATTTGGGCTGAGAAAAGAACCCCCCCCCAAAAAAAAATCCCGAAATAATCACGACGTAAGACTCGGCCTAAGGCTGACTCTTATGGCTCCCCATAGTTGGCCCGACGGATTTTTTTGGACGGGCATCCCCCCCCCCCCCTGATTTCGACCAAAAGACAGACCTCTCACCACATCACCACAGAGTTCTCCCTCCATGATTGTCGGGTCGTCACCAGAACTTGAAGGCTGTACGCACCACACCTGTAGGCGTCTTTGAAGCTAGTGGTGACTGCTGTTGGGTCTGTGTGTGCTGAGAAATGTCAATCCATGTTAGCAAAAGTAAGAATCCGTGTGGAGAATCCGTAGGAGA